AAGTCCTTGGATTTATCACGTAATGCTCTTGTGACAACTGAGGTAATCCTGTCTTCCATTTTTAAGACACTCATAAATTGCCCTTACATAAGAGCATAACAGCTAACAGGGCTGTCATTAAGGGCTGTAACCCGTAACACCTGTTACGGCTGAGTATGCTTGAATTTCCCTTGATGCTACGGGTAAAATTGCCAGTTGTTGATGGAATTCAACCACAAAGTAGCAAGTTTGCTACAGGTGTGGAAAACAAGGCTACAGGTGACTTAAAACTTAATGACAGCCCTGGCTAACTACAATGATTACTGCATTTCATGTTTTTTGGAGGATCAAGAAACATAATTTTCCAATCCCATTGTCAAATAATACAAATGAAAATGATTTTGTGGCCATTCCCTTGTCCTCCCAACTAGAGTAAGTGGCCATGCTTCTTACATACATATTTGAATTTTCCAGGAGAGTTATTGCGGTAAGCTGTTTGTCTGCTCTCAGGGATGCTGGAATCTGCATTTTTGAGAGTTTTGCTTCGAACATTTTTGGTGGGGCTTAGCTCCAAATCCCCCTAGCTAATTAGGCTAGCACCTTTGGTGTACACAACCAGCCTTACGGCAAAAAAAACATTGGCCTCCATTACTCTCAGGAACTGAATATGACACTTGAGATCATACTGTATATACAAAAATATGTACAAATACCCTATATGTATATATAATATGTTGATTCCTGTGGTTGTTGCTTTTATCCATTGCAAATGTTTTAGCCTGAATTTACCCATAGATTGTATTCTTTACGGCTGGTGCGACTAAGGTTGGCATAAATATTAGTATGATGTATTGTGAGATATACTACGTACATTTAATATACACACCAGTACAGTATGCTAAGAAAGTCATTTCCAATTAGTGGATTGTATCCTTTCCTTGCCTGATAGACAAGTAAGGTTTTTGGAGAATATTCATAAGGAAAGCCAAATTACTGTTCTAAGTACTGCAACAAATGAATTTGCTATAATTATAATTAACATATAGTTGAGAGGGCCAGAAGTTATTTAGTTGTATAACTATTAGATGTTTTACCCTCCATAAATATAGATTGATTGATTGATTGACTGACTGATTGATTGATTGATTGATTGATTAATTGATTGATTAATTGATTGACTGATGAGTGATTGATTGGTGTCATTTTAAATTAATTCATCAAGTCAGTAAGAACCTTTTGGGGCTAGTAAGGAAGACCTTTTGCCCAGTACAAGGTAGTTACAGCTAAAGGGCCAACCCTAAAAATTGGTTTTCTAACAGCCTGCAGTATTAATTTTGCATGCTATGCTGCAAAATGTGTACACAGTATATAGTAGTAATATTTATTGCAATTACAAATAATGATATTCTTCAGTAATAGATCA